AGCATCTACCAAATCAATGGCTCATTCCACCCGAGGTGATTATCTGAAGACATTGTTAAAGACATATTATACAACCTGTCAGTCTTCTGAAGAGGCTGACAGCTGTTGATCGACATTGTGTTAATTACAGTTAGATCACACACAGGACGGGGCAAGTGTGTGCTGACACAACCGTTACATCAGAACCGATTTGCACATAACGAGCTCAACGTCTAAGCTGGAACGGGAACAGTATGAAGGTCAAGTAAAATGTCTCGATGAAGATTATAACACCTATATAGCGACGTCCAGGGATGTTTTGTTAGTTTGTGTGTGTGCGTGCGTGCGCGCACGCTTGCGTGTGTGCGTGCGTGACAGACAGACAGATAATTTTTGAAGTCTCACCTCACAAGTACATGATAACAATACAATATACAAATACAATAAAAAGTGAGCCACCCATTAGGGGTTATGAGAGACTATTAACCAGAATATATACAATATGCTAAAAACTATTAGCTACGTGCATATAGGAAAAATATTACTGAACACCTAAGAAGATTAGAATATACTATTAAAGTATCATGAAGGATACATATACATACACTATATAATAAGTACCATTACCGATTACCATATAAAACTTGTGTGTAGGTCTACATGTGGTCTGAAGTAATCACATGCGAATCTACGAACATTAGACGAAATACAATCACTTTTTGCTCAAAAGTCGTTGTATCAGGGTTACAACACCACACTTAAGCTTCCAGGAGAACTTTCAAAAGGTATCATAGTGAGCACGTGGTAGACGAGTACCCTTAGTTATCCGGTAGACAATTGATTTGCCTGTGCATGTGTTTGAGACGGATACCACAAGTGAAGAAAAATAACTCACCTTTTCTCGAACACCTGGTGTTATTACTATTTGATGTTTATTCATAAAAACATGCTTAAAATATAGTCGGAAGCGTTCGATGGACTAGGGATATAGTAGATTATATAATTATGGGAATGGTTTTGTAGCTTATTAATTACGTAGTACGATATCAGTGGTTCCCTATTCTATTTATGAATGAAATGCACGTCTATGAGACATATATTTGATCATAAGAAATGTATTAAAATGATACAAGTTAAACAATAATTGTTCCACGTGAACATTATTGTTTGCGTCAAAATTACCATCCCCTGATAAGACACCTTTAAATTATCAGCTTTATTGTATTCAGGTCAATACTTATCCCAACCCAGGCTAGCTGTTATACGGCTCCCTTCTCTTGGTGACCCCAATAAAACAATGAGCTTTCAATCTCAGCAGGACGGCTTTGTATATCATTATATTCCCTATTGGTGAATACACTCTAGGGTGGTATAGACAGTGTTAGACATGCAAGATGAAGCTAGGTCCACAGATGCCTTAGTACACTGTAAACATACTGGAGGTAAGTCTTGTTTTCTATAGCCTTTGTATGGTATAAAGGGTTTCGTGTTCGTGTAAGCTGATATGACATTTGTTGACGGTGAAGGGCGAAATTATCTCTATACAAATATATCCGATGATACCGGTCCGCAGTCATCTTGCCACTAAATACAGTGGTACCTAATTTACTTCATCCGTTATTTAACGTTGGGTCTATATTTAAGGTGCGTAAGTTATTACATTATCGTTTTAACTATATCTTATGTCAAACCGGTTTGCATATCCTGAAGACCGCTAACTCAAACGTTTCACGGTAGAGCAGGCCTGTATTAGAAAACACTAACAGAAGAATGGCTTGTGAGTGACGTATTAATTGTCCAGTTTATAGTGATGAACGTTTTAGTCTTTTAAATACTTGTGATAGCCTATGTCAGAATTTTAGTAATCTTACTGATATACAAAAAACTGCATTTATCCTGTCCAATAGAAATATCTGTTTTAAAGCTGCCAAAACCTGCCATGTTATTTTAAAAAGGAGAAAATCCGTATTATATAACTTTTAATTATTGTTACTCATAATACATGTACATGCAATTTTTAAAGAATTTTAGTCTCTCATAATTCCGTATGGAATGGCCCTTATGTAAATATATGTTTAATTAGTTTGTATATATGTATAACAGGGGTGACTTTAATAAATAACCTGTCTGTGTGTCTGTCTGTCTGTCTGTGTTGTTAAGGGTTTTCCTGTGATGGTACAAACAAGACTGGTTATAGTGTTGAAACAACACGTATCACTGAATACACAATGCCATTTAGTAATTTGTCAAATGTAACACATGTTTCACTTGAGATTGAACTTTCTCAGTAAAGCACAAATTCTAGTTTTTTTGTTGGTTGAATCCCATTCGGGATTCGAACCCACACTCTCAGTCAGGAACATAATCGCCACGACACACAGTCAGCCATCTAGCCCGCTCAGCCACCACAGGAACTCAACAAAAGTACTAGATTCTGTACTCTACTGAGGAAGTGTAATCCCAAATATAACATCATGTGTAACACGTATAAGTATTAGGTGAAATTGGGATTTTAACCTACAAGTAAAGGATCTAGTTAAATCGTTAATCCATCAGTCTGATACAGTAATATCCTTAGATAGTTGTATTGGGAACGTGCAGAAATTCTGTATCTTTCTGACTGACAAATGTTTTTGCTTTTATCACAGGTTATGTTGCTTTGGTCTCTAATAATTTCAGGGAGCAGTGAATGTAAAAAATGTGTTTTATCAGGCAATGTTATCATGTGATTATAGATTTGCATAAATACATTCATTTCATAAAGTCAATTTATGTCAAATGTAACATTCTTTTACAATACAGGAGATGAACTGGAGTAGAATATCTTCCACATTTTTACATATTTCGGGTAAAAATGTTAAATTTTTACTGACAAAACATTTCTATTGGATACTTCGAAGGATCTTGTGTCATTAATGATAACAGTCAGTACAAACGCCACCAAGGCTCGAATTATGTTGTAGCTCACATATCTGATTTCAAAGTCAAAAGATGTTATCTTTATACTTCAAAGCCAAAAATGTTATACGAAATATAGCAAGTATGTATTGCGGGATCCCGGTGGTGTTGATGTGTTTAGAATGTTTTGTCATGCGAAAAGAATGCAAGTTTTCTAGACAGGTTACGTAATTACAACAGACAACTTAATTCCTGCATATCTTATGACGACAATATGTACATACACAATAAGGTTTACTCGTCTCTGTACTGCACCTGCCAATTGTGTACAACCACTTTATCAGCTCACACGACAAACCGGTTTTTCAACGTTACAAAGACATGTAATTTCCAGTAGATTAAATATTGATACTTCAGGGCATTTTAAAACCGATCTTTTGAAATGAGTATTCATATTATTTTTTCTTTCTTTCAGCGTCTGTGATGGGTGAACGATTCTGAATGTCCAGCCTGGAATACGAACGGTTCCAAGACTGTGGCCTTCCCCGTTGTAAGCGTCCTCTCCGACTGATTCTATTGCGGCGTTAACGTCAAAGTTTCTTATGGATTAAGTCTCATCAACCTGTCTGTGGAACACCGCTTCAAAATGGAACGACGGCGTACAGTTGGTGCGTCCCCGTCCCTTCCCAGAATTCCCTCCAATGTTTTGGCGGGAATCAAGAACCAGGTCAGACGAACACATTCGGATTCTGTTGTTCGTTCTTCTGAGAATGGCCAAATGCCAAGAATGATTTTTAGTTCCAGGAATATCAGGACCAGTTTTAGTAAAGGTGATAACCTTATTGGCAGAAGAACTGTGACAAGAACATTCTCTGACAGGCCAAATTCAATGTCGTCAGCGAACACAAGTGTGTCGAACTCACACACTGTCTCACCTGATAATTCACTATTGTCCGTGTCTCTCCAAAACTTCGAATCTGACCTAACGGACCCATCTACAGACCCTCCGTCCTTGATGCACGAGGATGAGACAGACATGGCCAGCGACGTCATTCGTGAAGTTAACGAAAACGGATTTGACAGTGAAGACCGGTCGTCTACAAAATCCGTCTCCTCACATACTATTACGGAAACGGATTCACTCACGACCAAGATCCATATGACAGAGAGTTCCTATCCCATAACAACCACAGACATGGATACTTCCGAAAATGAGCCAAGGGGTTTTGAGAACATGACCAGGAGTATGCCCACCCCTCCACCGTCACCCCCACCCACTGGCCATGACGATACTGACGAGGTAATGTCGTATTTTCTAAACACTGTTTCGCAGGGATATGATTCCGAAGCAACTCCGTTGAATTCAACTCCTGCAACTCCTGCTGTTTCAACGAAATCGCGACACACCCTGACGACGACGACGCCGTCAACGACGCGGAAGTATCATCATACGATTTGAAATCTGCAACCGACATCTTAGATTCACTGTCGTCTTTCCCCGGACCATCTGACGATATATCAGACACACGGACGTCACCTCCATCAGTTGTAGAAGTTGTCCCAGCCCATTCTAATCCTCCCTCCCCGCCCCCGGTCCCTCCATCGTCATCCCCGCCTGACCTCACCCCTCCCCCGGTCTCTCCATCGTCATCCCCGCCTGACCTCACCCCTCCCCGGAGTCCCGAACCACCACTCAGGACATCCTCCCGAAATGAAGGAAGAGAGAATCAGACATTGTCTCTGCATGTTAAAAGACCACACTCTCCATCCCACGAGGACTTTAGGAATGGTGAGGGGGAGAGCTCCAGCCCACCAGTGAAGAAATCAACAGAGCTTTACCCACAGGCGTCTCGACAACTGGCATCTCCATCGGCAACCCCACCACCACCATACATACCACCCCCACCACCACCACCACCACCACCACCACCGCAACAACCGACGCCACCACCTCCCAAACGCCCCATTATAACAGTTTCTGGACAAACGAAGGGTGGATCTCTCTCTCCGAATCCGACGTGTCGTCTGACTATAGACCTGAGGATGAGACTTTAAGATATTTCAATAAAACTGTTACCGGGGAAACTACTTTGAGTTCCGACAACAGCAGCCAAGCGGAAGAGATGCACGGTCTGTCTCTTCCCAAAAATGACTACTTTGCAAGCAATAGCATTGACACGCCTGAACAACCCAAGGGAGATAACTCCTCCAGCCGTGATGGCGTTGTCACCAATCCAAGCATCGGTTTAAAGGTGATTAAATGGAATGATCCCTTAAAAACAACTCGCTCAGCAATTAAACCAGGCACTGTCGATGAACTTAAACAAATATACAGCAAGTTAGGTGATGGTGAATTTAAGCCGTCAGCAATAAAGAAACGAAGGAAAGAACTGTTCAAAATGTCCAAAAGCCAGCAAATGAAGCGTTACAAAAAGGTTATTGATATGTTCAGCGCTGATGAAACAGACGAAGTTCCGCTCAGCCCGACACACACGAACACGCCTCTGAAGAGCGTGGACGTAGTTGAAATGTCGACTCACGCCGTTGTTTCCAACGACTCTAAAGTGGACAGCCCTGCAAGAGTAAGTGAAACAGCTACACCGAGTTTGGAGGTTGCGCCCAAAGTTAATGACACGACGCCTACGGTTGGATCTGATAGATGGGAAAATTCGGAGAATGATGAATCTAACCCTTACTCCCGGGCAAACATCATTGCGTTCCTGAACAGACGCCTGCAAACGATCCACAGCAATCAGAAGAAGGCTTTTGAAGCTGAAAAGAAGAAAGGAGAAAAGGAGGTGTATACAGACAAATCTGAGGACAGTAATTCATCTTTTCGGAAGGACGACCAGCCTGTTGTGGCGTCAACCACGTTTAATTCCACCGAACAGCAAAGAGATTCTTACAGCAAGCCTTCTGGGGATGAAGAAGTGATTGATAGTCGCAGGGAAGCCCAACTTGATGAGCAACTTGTCAGCGGCAGTACGTGGAGAAGCATTTCGCATGGTCACGTGACCGAACCAGGTACACCGCGAGACGAGCCTGCTGTGTCGTCTGCTTCAGATACTCGGATAGGGTTTGACAGTAAACAAGGTGAGGAGGTTTCGGAGGAGCAGTCACCTGGAAGAATAGACGTAGATTTGAAAGCAGGCGACGGCAAACCGAAGAAAAAAGACACAGGATTTCGGAGTTTATTTTTCGACGATGATCCCGAATCTGACTCAGAGGGCGAGCCTGTGAATAATGAAACATCTCAAGTAGGTACAAATATGAATGTGAGATCTTTTCACTCGTCTGAACACAACGGCCAGGCAAATACGCCAATGTTTTCAAATGGTTTTATGAATACATCTTCGGATTATTCAACAAACATGTCGGCTGCTGTTGGTGAAGTGCAAAGTTTTGATATACAGAGCCGTGCAAGTGGACACAGCCGTGCATCGAAACATAGTCGAGTTTCAGAGCATAGTCGAGCATCAGGACACAGTCAGGTGTCAGGACACAGTCGAGTGTCGGGACACAGTCGCTCGACAAGCGGGGCTTCGGGTCCACAAGTTAACACCGAGGAATCGAGCAGTGGTGTTTATGTTGTGCAGGACAATGTTGGGGATCTGTACGTTGTGGAGGATGTTAGCGACAAGCCGAGGCAGACAGCTACATTTGATCAGTCAGGCATGGTGTTTACGTCCGGGGATGTAGACACAAGTCACACATTTGATACAACTCAGAGCAGCCTGCGCAGTTTTGATTTTAATACACCAGAATCAACTCGGTTTTCGGTCGATGGTTCTGATTTGAATTATGGCAAAGCAAAAGAAGTACTTTCCAACTTGTTTGACAGTTTGAACACGGCTGATCGGGGATTGGCCGTGACAGATTTCCGAAACGACTCAGTGGAGCGAGGCGATGTGACAGTGAGCGGGATAAGTGTGATCTCGGATCGGGATGTAGATAGCATGGCAAGTCAAGCGAATAATCAAACTATCGTGACTCTGAGGAGTGCAGATACCGATATGGCTCTGCATGAAGATGTCAATAAAAAGACAATTTTGAATATTGTCACGGATGAACAGGATCGCCCGCTGTGGACCGAGCAGACGACAGACACACAAGTCAAAGCCTGGATGGAAAACGGCGACGAAATACAAATAGGGGGTGACACAGGATACAGGACCATAACAACGGCATCCAGTGGCAACCAGGCATTAGCTCTGATGACGCCAGCGCCTGATTATCCAGAAACTGACACAAGGCATATTTCTACATATAATGTGTCCCTTGCAAACAACCAGGATGGTGCTGTAGCTGTTGCGTCTGCTGGGCCCGTGATTCAGGACGTTGCGACAGGTGTAACCGTTACAACGACGAAGTCGACGGTGATCGGCCAGAAGGTAGATATGATGATCGATGTCCCTCAAGAACGAGATGTCAGATCGGAATGGAATCAGAGTAACAGGATGGTTAATTCTTTTAGAAACAGTTCTATGAATTCAAATGACAGTGTTCGTTACACAAACGGCTATAACAGTGACTCTAGTCAGTCCTCAGATGGTGGCCGACGAGGTCAAAAGATCTACAGTGTCCGGCAAATCAAGAGTTCTTCATTGGACCGTGCAGATTCGTCTAGAAGTCAAGGACGAACTCGGTACATCACGCGTATCGATTCCATACCGAAAGGCAATCGTCCAAATATTGAGAAGACGTACTTCACTTCAAGTGATGCATTGACAAGCAGGACCAACAACGTGTCATTTGGTGATGCAGACAGCCAATATGGGTCTCAAACATCCAAGAGTACGTCAGCGGAAGCGTCTCCCCCTGGGGAGAGTCCTCGGTATAGAATGGTAAGATCACCAACCCGCACCCAAACTACACCGGAGAGACGAACTATCTACGAGTATGCCGAGGACGAACCAACGAGATCTGACTTTTACCAACACAAAGCATTCAACTATGAAGAGTCTGTCAACAAAGACGGAGATTTATGGCGTGTCAGACACACACCCAGCAGTGCAGTGTATAATGAACCAGTCTTCAATTCTCGCGATAGCAGTAGAAGTGATCGTAGCTCTCAGCGATACAAGGTCACTACGACGATACCCGCGGAAGAGCTGTTCAATAAGGACAGGCCACACGACGGTTTTTACAGGACCCGTGATTCATTTGGTTCTGGGAGTGAACAGAAGCGTTACAAATCAGTTACAAAAGTAGAGCTTGAAAATGACAGGCTGTCTCCTGTCAGAAAACGCAGACATGAGCCGAGAGATCTTTCTGATTCTGAGGACGATGAGCGCACGAAGTACAGGGTGTCAAATATTAGAAACGACGAAGCGCTTATAAGAAGACAAATGGAATTTAAACCAGAGGTAGAAGATAGCCAGCAGGTGTATAGAGTTACTAGTGTGACCCCTTCTGGCAAATCTACGAAAGCCCAAAGGAGAGTTATGAACAGAAGCTTGTTCGGTAGCAGTAGCAAAGATCCAATATACGACGATGACAACGACACTCAACCTGAGCATCATTACCGAGTGGCAAAAACATCCTCATCAGAGGACTTAATAGTGTCGCGGAAGATCGCCACTCAGTCTCAGCAGCGAGACTCGAGGTACAGAAGGGTAGCAAGTCCGACGAGATTCGACTCTGGTTACTTTGACGACTCGCTATCACGCAGAGTATCTCCATCCCACACAACTGTCATCCGCGTCGATCCCGGCCCGAGACGAGGCAGGTCTGTTGACGCTTCAACAAGGAACTCTGTGTACACAGTGATGAATGTGAAATCGGAGGATAATCTGACGAATGGAAGCATGTGGGACAGCAGGGCCTCCCCTACCCGAGGTCGGAGGGGTAGTTATTCTTCAGATTCCGACGGAGAGAGGAAAGGAAAGTACCGGATTACGTCATCCAAACAGCGTAGGTCCTCGGTAGAACGTGAATACCCGTCGTCTCCCAAGCAGGAGCGAAGATCGAGAAGGGATGAAACAACTAAATATTATGTTCAGAGGTCACTGAGCCCTAGTCGCGTGGAAGATAGCGAGCCTGTTATGTTAAGTAAACGGGTAAGGTCTATATCTCCTCAGCCCTATTACAGCCGAGTGTCGAGTCAGCCTCAGTGGCATAAGAGTTCCGTGGACGTTAGTAGACATAATTACACTACAGACTTTAACAACCAAAGGAGCTCTTCCTTCGCAAGCTTGAGTCCAGACAAAGGTGATTACAGGCCAGTCGGGAGATCCAACTCTCAGAATTATAAAACTGAGAAGACATTCTTCATCAGATCTACCTCACCATCTCCTCCCAAGACTAGCAGGAATCTTTCAAGAAGCTTCTCCCACGACATGACTGCCGACTCAGGCACAGGGACCGAGATTGTGAGCTCTGACAATGAAGGAAACGGAGAATTCGTTCGTGAGGAAAAAGTCCAGAGATTGGAACAACAAATATACACTGTTCGTCGAGAACCATTACATTCCGATATACCAGACGAAACAGAAGACCTAAAAGTAGAAAGAGGAAGGATTCTAATAAAAAACAAAATTGACCCCAGCAAGGATGAAGACGACTTTGATGATAATTTGAATTTGTTTGACAATGAGTTCCATCTTCAGAAGGACAATCCCCTGTATCAGAGTGATCCTGACCTTTACAAGAAGTTCGAGGAGGAACAGCTGGAGGAAAATGTTCATCAGTCGGAGTTCAGGAACAGGGTGAACCAAGACATCACTTTCGACACCGTGGATAGGATAGCACATCAACACAGCAGTAGCAGCAGAAGAAACGGTAAGAATATTTGATTATTAATACAATATGCACATCATACATAATAGTGCCTCAGGCCGACGCCATTATCATTGTCAAATAACTACATTATTACCCGGGCAGTAGATCAGTGTATATCCAGTTTATCGTCAGTGGATAAATGTGCATTCGCTGCTCCTTATGGAGTATGCAACCCATGCTACCTGTGAGGTGCTAAAAGGTTAACAGTCATATTGCCACTGTATTCTACCGGGTACCCATTCACTGCTGGGTCATTATGATATATGATTGTATATTGCATCCTTTCGATTTAGTGGGCTGAGGAGGTTCCGTGTGTTGTAAACTAAGCGTCAACGTCTTTAGGACTGGGTGGTTACTGTGTGTGACCTGACAGTGTGCCGGCATGTCACGGTGACCTGTACAGTTGCTCATGCTATCAACCCCTAGTTTGTCTGTCCCATACACAAAGTGTTCATGTCGTCATGATCTAGCTGAAATATTGCTTACTAGAGTGCAATACAAGATTCATCTATTTAACCCATGCGATAATATGTATATGAATATAGATATCGTGTGCCATGTTAGCTTTATGTTCTTATCATGTATAACCAGGGAGAAGGATCCCATTAACCATTCCTATCCTAGACCCTTTCCCACACCCACCCGAATAACAAACATTGCCGTGACTAAAGTGTCCTGAGATTGTCGTACATTCAGTGATTCAGTCACAGTTTCTCGTAAAGTTGATTAAACAGAAGCAACTCCAGTTAAACTAAGGGAGAGTGTCAGAAGTATCAAATACAATTTGAAAACAGCATATACCTTGTAACTTACACCGAGTCCCATTGTGTAAACGTAACATGCAAAAGGCCTATGCGCGACCTTTCACTTCCCAATTCAGTATCTTTCTACTTGAAAATTCAAATGGAGTTCGGGTGTGTGCAGTCGGTGTGAATGAGCGGTCGTTGGCGGGATTGTAGGATCGAGGCAGATGTCACCGTTGTCAGTGACGTTCAAATACATTGTCAGCAATATTCAAATACAAGCGAGAAAATCCTATCCATATTCATAAGAAATCACTGCCAGTCTCTCGATTGCACATATGTATGGTGACACCAGGTGTTCACGAGGAACGTAATATGTAAACGTTGAAAAGAGGACCATTTCCATATTGAAGTCTATCCTTTGGCAAAAAGTGCAAAGCAGGTCGAGAACACCATGCATATGTAATCCTCGGGTTGTTGGTGGAGTTACGAAGATCCCAAGCATGGAGTGCTGTACATATTTTAACATTAAACATAGCTAAAGTCAGACTGCTGGAAGTTCCACGCAAGCATTTGCTTGTGTAGGTGTACATCCGACCCACTTTTAACTGTCACTTTTTATATGAGTTTATTCGAATATCCAGAAAAATATATAGTTGTTCTGCATTGCAACACGTTTTATATTTGTGGTTATTTATTCACAAGACTTGGTCGGCTGAATGAAGCAGGGCTAACAAAATATTTTCCCTCTATGTTGGTCTTATCTTTATCATGTTAATCTATAATACCCATTGGAGCGTTTCGACATGATTCTATTCATTCCAGCAATGCCTCAGTCAAACTTACAGCACTGAATATTTCACTTCAGTAGTCCGGCGTACACGATTTGTAATAAGGTCAAATCTGCTGACCTCGCTAAATCCGACACAGTTGAGTTTTGAAAGGCTATGTATGTATTACCAACGGCGACTTTGTGTTCAACCCTTCCAGCCGCCAACGCTTGAAATGATCATTATCATAAAGCTATTGGATGTTGAGAAATCTAGTTCTACTTTCAATGTAATTGCCTATCTTATTTGAATAGTATTTGTATCCCACAAGTTGTAGTTCAGATCAATACCGTATCTTGGATACTTTTTACAGTGGTAGTTTAATATGAATTTCTGAATATAAGTTGCCCTTTACAGTGGAGCAGGGAGCGTTTTAGCCTCAGGCGACACATTCTTTTGCACCGTGTTTGTTCATTATTCCCCGTTTATACATGTAGTCAAAATAATCTACAATCTGTCATCAGGTGTTGATAGATGAGGAGCAACGACTGAATTGTTCATTAGACAATCATTTTTATGTCTGAAATAAAAGGCAGCTTGAATGAATGACAGCCTGTATGTTTAGATCACGATGCCTATATGGATTGCAACGTATTTAATAGTATGTGTAAAGACAGAATGTAGAAGCAAGAGACAGCAAAAAAATTATATGAAATTATGTAGATTAAATGATAAAATTTCAAATCCAGACCTCATAATTTGCCAACGTGTTCGATTAACTGCTCGTTTCATTCCAAGCATTCCAATCAGGGTGACCTGACAATGGGAAGATATATTGTTCTCATATAAGTAGGTAACGTCAACACACGCCGTTATATTGGAACACGCCCTACTCGTACTATCATAACTAATTGTTGAAGAAACGGTTCATATCTATAGTCCCTGGTCAACATGAAGCTCTACTGAGGTTAAACTGGAAAGCTGCATGTTCCACACCTATACTTGAAACACAGAAGAGTAACTGCGACCACAAACGTTTCTTACATGAAACAACAGGACTCCTTAAGTCGGCAGTGTGTGAAATATGTTTAAAAAATAATTGCACTAGCCATTGTAAAAGAAATTTCAGACCAAATTTTGAATAACATCTACCCCTTGAGGTCATTCCTCGAACAATACGGTAAGACGTCTTGAGCATTGGGTCACTCTGTCCACGCCTTGTTCACGGATCAGGTTGCTGACCCCTTAGTGAAAGCTGTATGCAGTAGTTATGTTCAGTATGTAGGTGGTATTCTCAGTATCGGCTGATCACATGATAGCCAGTGAAGCATGGTTAATCATGAATTACTTTCCCAATACAACGGAAACATTTATCTAACCTTAAATGCAAGGTTTGTATTGGGATATTTATATATCAGGCAATGGCACCGCCAATCACAAATACACACATTAATCTACATGGAGTTGTGGCAATAAGTTGACGAGGAATTGAAACCTTTTTGTAAACTCGTAATTCCAAGTTTTCGTGAGAATATTAGCTGCGGGGTTGGGTTGAGGCTGTAACTGCCCGTAGTTAAGCGCCCTGGCCGGTGGGTGTTGTCAAGCTGGGAAGCATTTACTTTTCACCGAATTATTCTCATTCGATGTGAGAAAGCCAAACCTTCCCTTCAAATATATAATATAATATAATCGCACTGAAATAATTAGTTATCACCCATGTGTCATGACACAAGTACCTATTGGAAGAAATGCGGACATGTTACAATGATTAAGCATGTTATGACCTTAATCTATGATTAGGAATTGTCACAAAGAAAACATTTGGAAGTATATTACCCATTTTAGATAAAATAGTTCAGAACTATATGTTCTGAATATATCAAACTAATGGATCAAAGTACTAGTGGATGACAATGATAACTGTTTACGTTATGAGCGTATAGCACATTACATATTGTCATTAACGTAACAAGTTTTACCCTCTGTCTGATCGATATCACGGCTTTAGCAACGTATCTTTCGGGTCTTCGGTAGATAACAATGCCATTGAAGCCAAAAGGTCGGATCATCGATTGAAAGAACTAACATAGTAACCAAATTGTTGCATGGTCGGTTGCAATAACTACCATTGCAACTAAAAATGTTGAATCATCAGTAGTTACTACTACCATAGTGACCAATATGTCGCAATGTCCAGTCTTCGGTTGGCACTATTTCTGCAGCAACCCATCAGTCATTAGTTGATATTCAAACAAGAAAGCGCTTGATGGCATCACTATGGCAACCCATGTATCGTGTCAGTGGAAGATAGTATCGCTATAGCAGCCCATGTATCGTGTCAGTGGATGATAGTATCACTATAGCAACCCATGTATCGTGTCAGTGGAAGATAGTATCACTATAGCAACCCATGTATCGTGTCAGTGGATGATAGTATCACTATAGCAACCCATGTATCGTGTCAGTGGAAGATAGTATCACTATAGCAACCCATGTATCGTGTCAGTGGAAGATAGTATCACTATAGCAACCCATGTATCGTGTCAGTGGAAGATAGTATCACTATAGCAACCCATGTATCGTGTCAGTGGATGATAGTATCACTATAGCAACCCATGTATCGTGTCAGTGGAAGATAGTATCACTATAGCAACCCATGTATCGTGTCAGTGGATGATAGTATCACTATAGCAACCCATGTATCGTGTCAGTGGAAGATAGTATCACTATAGCAACCCATGTATCGTGTCAGTGGATGATAGTATCACTATAGCAACCCATGTATCGTGTCAGTGGAAGATAGTATCACTATAGCAACCCATGTATCGTGTCAGTGGAAGATAGTATCACTATAGCAACCCATGTATCGTGTCAGTGGATGATAGTATCACTATAGCAACCCATGTATCGTGTCAGTGGATGATAGTATCACTATAGCAACCCATGTATCGTGTCAGTGGAAGATAGTATCACTATAGCAACCCATGTATCGTGTCAGTGGAAGATAGTATCACTATAGCAACCCATGTATCGTGTCAGTGGATGATAGTATCACTATAGCAACCCATGTATCGTGTCAGTGGAAGATAGTATCACTATAGCAACCCATGTATCGTGTCAGTGGAAGATAGTATCACCATAGCAACCCATGTATCGTGTCAGTGGATGATAGTATCACTATAGCAACCCATGTATCGTGTCAGTGGATGATAGTATCACTTATAGCAACCCATGTATCGTGTCAGTGGAAGATAGTATCACTATAGCAACCCATGTATCGTGTCAGTGGAAGATAGTATCACTATAGCAACCCATGTATCGTGTCAGTGGATGATAGTATCACTATATAGCAACCCATGTATCGTGTCAGTGGATGATAGTATCACTATAGCAACCCATGTATCGTGTCAGTGGAAGATAATATCACTATAGCAACCCATGTATCGTGTCAGTGGATGATAGTATCACTATAGCAACCCATGTATCG